AGTTGACATATATTAGTGACATTGCCAAAATATGTCTATAATTAATCATTTTATTTAGCCAGTAGTGACAGGTAACGATAATGTCAATTTGTTTATACTCCTTGATGTCAATCTTTAATGACACTATATCATTATTTCACAGTCTGTCATAGAACACTGTTTTAAGTAACTATTTTAAAACATAGTAACAGTCACCCAATATTTTATTTTAGTTTCTTCATCCTTCATAATTTTTAAAAATGCATCACATTTTTATATTCTATGACAACAAGCACACATAGCTACCAATGACTTAACAGTGCACAGTGACAGATTTTGTTTTTCTATTTGTAAGGTGAAACAATTTTAATTCAACAATACATTACAATTCAACCGTATCGTGCTATTTTAACTTGGTATATCTGACTTCTTAGACAACTAGAACTTTGAGATGAATGTTTTTACTATAGTTACTGATTCACGAGAGCACTTCCGTCGAGCGTGACCGCTACCTTACATTGAGCATTGATCACAAGTGGAGGTACAGTCTTTTATAAATAAATTTTGAAATTCTGAACTTGGTTTTCTAGTGCGTGGTATGTCGGACACGGCGATGTTATCTAAACAGCTGTGAATGACCATACATCAACTGATACTGTCATATTATCGACACATTCTCCATATATCAAGTGTATTTAAATATATAGCAACATTCCGTAGTAATCTTCATCAAATACAACACACAATGTCCACTTTTCCGCATCGGTTTGCTTAAGATAGCAAAAAAATGTGACCTTCATCATACTTTGACAGGTGTGAGTCGTATCATCCTTGATAGGGACACTTGAAATCGATCGACACAGATTTATATTTTATTTATTTATTTTTTATTTATTTATTTATTTATTTATTTATTTATTTATTTATTTATTTATTTATTTATTTATTTATTTATTTATTTATTTATTTATTCAACACGTATAACGGTGTTACCATGTGTTCATCACAGTGTTACCGTTTGAATCATGTATTTATCAAATTGTTACTTTCTGAATACTATGTTCGTCGCCATGTTGCCGCCACACAAAAATCCTTTGACTTTACTGCAGTACTTTTATTTGTTACTGAAAAACTGAAAACTTTCAAGAACACTGTTTAAATTAGTTATACTTTTCACAAAGCTGAGTTTAAATTGTTTTGAGATTAGATTTACTGGTTACCGGTGATTTTTTCACCAGAGTTTCTTACAATGATGCACACTAACCGCTCGCGATAATATCGATTGACCACTTAGTCCATAGATTTTGTTGTTGAAATTAGATCCTATATTTAGAATGATAATCTATATATAATACAACAAACAAGTGTAAAGTTGACCTTCAACTTGTACTTTGTACTCAAACCAATGTATCGTATTAATGGTGCATAAAGTCGGCACATTTACTATATTTCATTTTCGTATGTCGGGTTTTTTGTTTCACGGTAACCCAGCCATTTATACACTCACATACGAGTATTTTATTCCATTGAAAAAGAAAACAAACAAAGATGTCGTATGCAAGTCTACTGACGGTTGACAAACAATGCTATGATGATATGTATTTTTTATTTTTTTTTAAACTTCATAATGTATGGGAATCATACCTGTATCATGCTAGTGTTCCTATTTTACATATTTTATATGGTCGTTTATGAACAGAAAAACGTAATAACGAAGCCGGGGTTAGTGATAATATTACTCGGCCCTGCCGTTTTCACCACGGTGATTTTGGTTTCGCATATGCACAGAATGTAATATTCAACATCCAATGGGTGGAAATCTTGTTGCCAAATGATTACGACAAGGAATTCATTATTACTCTGCATTATTACAATATTAGCATATAAGCATGATAATGTGTAGTCTTTTGACGTGAGTGACCTTTAACCCTTTCACCACCAGACTTTCTCGCCCAAATTGTTGCACTTTTTTTGTTATATTGTTCAATATTTCTGGAAATGTTCCATAATTTCAAAGCCAACAGAAAAGATTTGAGTACATTTTCAGTTTTTACTCAAAGATTTTGACTATTTTTCAAAGTTGTCCCAATCTTCTGAAGAAAATTGCAAACTTCAAACGGAACTAATTTGTGGTAAAAAGAGGGAATTGGTGATGAAATGGTTAATGTTGATTGAGTTTTGTTTCGAAAACAATCTGATTTAAAACAGAAGTTGCGTGCTATAGCTAGCAGTATTCTGACGAATAGGACGCTCACCCGGTCTGAAGGCCGTGCTCTAATTCAGTGTATTGAGAAAGATGCAGTCTGTCGGCCCTGGGAACTGAATAAAATAATCGCGTGTTCAGTATGTTGCGGGCGACACTATATTTGTGAAAATCTATGCATATAGTATGTGTCTCAAAGTTATTCTCAGCTTTTATGAAATTCAATGAAACTTTGTTGTTTATGAAGTTTGTTTGTGAACATTGTAGTTCTAAGCGCAACACGTTATCTGTTGTCAAAACAGTTGGATTCACCGAACTCATTACCCCTATTATCGTGTCATTTCTACGTAATCACCCGCGTCTATGTACATATATGTTATCAGTATCGAGTGGATAATAAATAGATTTTAAGACGTGACGTTAACACCTTAATGGCATATTACTCATCCACTACGACGAAAACTCTTATAATAATCCAAACTTTTATGAATTACAAACTTATAGTCTTGTAGATTTGTGTAGAATTTCACAATTGAAATACGACTTGAAGGTTTTTATATCACGTTTTGTTACAGCACGTCACTAAATCCGTCGTTTTATTCATCCTCGTTCACAGCCAGTTGTGCTGTAATATATAAATGTTCGGATTTGAAAGTAGTGCAAAAACATGAACCATGAAAAACTTGTGACTGTTTGGAACAAATTTTAGGTCATCTGCGCGGTGAAACTTGTCTACAAGTTTTAGACCTCGTCTAAAAAAATATCACTCGATCGCATTCAGTACCTCTCAATAGTAGTTAAAATCGGAACGTTCACTGAATCACACGCAAACTAAACAAACATCGTATAAGTTCAGTCCACTAATGCTCCGTGTTGTACAAATCAACTCATTTGTGAGTGGTATATACACATTTAGTATCGATTACAAAACACTTGGCGGAAAAGTTATTTTCGTGATTGAATTGCTTTAAATTACCCCCACTACATATCGTAGCATATGTTGCCTTGTCCCGCAGGATGTAAAAGAAGTCAGCTTACTATTCCTCTCTTTAAATGATTACATAACACATATTTTAGTTTGATTCGAAAAAAGACACAAAAAGAAATGTAAAACTCATGACATTTATTATCACATTCAAATTGAAAACTCTGTATATGTACCTTCAGTACTTGTTGTCATGTCAACGGCATGTTCCATTTTGTTGATGTCAATCTGCATTTGTTCGCCATAAAAACGGTTCAATACAACTTCTCAGAATTTCGGCAACCTCAACCACGTGTACACCATTACAAACATGACCGACTTTCACGTGTATTGTTGTTATGGTAGAGTGAAACCTATAACACTACTGTTCACATAAGTCTGATAAGTCATGTGGCATCAATGTAAAGGTCATGTGACAGTATTATGAAGGTTATGAATGCCATAAAGTTTAACGTCATGGCGATAGAAGAAGGAAGTTTGCAACAACCTTCAACTATATCTGTTTTGAAATTGATTACGAGGTGATCCAAACACTAAAAATAAGTTTTCTTTTTTCAGGAAGACGAGGTTATTTACTATAATGTTGTGAAAAATATTTCCAGAATTCGATAGCAGAAAAGTGTTTACAGCACGACTTCCTGTTAACGAGCTTATGTATAACCGTTAAATCATCGACGATAATGAACGTAATCAACATCTCTGTGTTTCATTTGACATGTGTAACGAAGCCACTGCTGCGCATGCGTAGCGGTGACTTTCGCGATGAAAAAAGTTTTCTTTTCGTAAATATTTTCACTTGTAGCCTATTAAGGGTTGACAATTTGAAATCGAGCGAGTTTTCAGATCTTTTTTCTGAATACCACTATATGTATTTCCATACAAAGTTTTGAAGAGCAGTAGACCATATTATCCACCTCAATTTGTCAGAATTCTTGCTGTTTTAATTGTTTTCATGTCGACAGATTTTATCAAATTAATGCCATCCATCACACACCGCATTCCAGCGGGGTTTAGAACAAAATGACAGTGGTTAAC